CCCCCCCCGCTTGAGGGGAAATGTCTCTTTGACCTTCAGGTTAATGCCCCTTGAGTTTTGCTGTCTCTCCAAACTCAATCTGTCGGTGAGAGGGATCTACACCCTCTACTTGACCCTTTAACAAGACTGGCACCGCCAAAAGCTCTCAGGGTGCCATGCCAGTTACCATGGCACTCCACCGGAAGAATTCTTTTTTAAGTGCTGGAACAATTGTTATACCCAATCCACTTGACTATCAAGTCAACAAACCACAACACTGGAAGAAAATCCTTTTAAAAGATCAATTTTGTTCATAATAAAACAGATTAAATGTTTAAAATGACTACAGTAAAATCTGTAAAACAATTAAGCAAAGCAATTGTAAGAATTTAGGCTTCGGAAAGTGAAATAGGAAATGACTGGGTAAGCAAAGAAGTATCCAGGTGATGGCACTCGAGGCCTGCTCAATTTCAACGAGAAGACAATTTCAGAAGGACAACAGAGAAGGCCCTCCTTCACAGCAGTCAAATAAGCCTCCCTAGACCATGGGACAACAACCAGAGCCCCTTCCTCAGAATGCATGGAGAAGGAAGTTGCTCAGACAACCTGTTCTTGGGTTGCACGGGACCTTATAAACAAAAAGCAACATCTTGAACATGGCTTGGTATCTAACTCACAACCAGTGTAAATCTTTTTACATACATGTTATATGTGCAAGAGAAGAGGCAAACACAAAGCAGCATGGCTGATGCAACCTGTAAACCAAATCTAAGGGTAGATCAACACAGAGCCCATTATAGCAGGACAATTGTGAAGTTATGAAAAGTGGATTACTGTAGCAGCATACCAGAAGAAGCTAATAGTAGGCGTGCTTTGCCAAACAGGCCACCTGAGGATCCAAATGATGCTGTCCCTGCAAGTGAAATAACTTCCAGGACAGGTAAACAACCCAACTCCTCAACCCAGGAACCACCTGTACACAGGAACTCTCTTTCAGGGATTCGGTTTTAGTTGATAATAAATAAATAAATAAAACTTTATTTATATCCTGCCCTCTCTCCCCAGAGGGTCTCAGGGGAATTAGCCCTTATTCAGCCAGAGACTCGTTCAGATGTAACACCTGATTCAGATGTAACAAAGATGTAGAACTGAGTGTTATCTGTTTATGGATGCCTAAGCCCCAGATCTCTGACTAGCATTCTCAACTGTTTCATGTAGATGCTAACATACAGACAAGACAGGAGTAGGCTTGTGGCATCCCACAGATTATATACATTATATATTTCTTTTTATAAGCATCAAAACCGAATAAGAAATTCTTAGAGCAAAGATAGCAGCTTTTAAAATAAGGGTTCCATTATCAGTCAGTTCTGAAAAATGTTCAGAGACATTTCTAACTGGTTGGTGAAAAAACAATTTAGACTGAAAAATCTTGGCATAAGTCATGCTTTCATTTTATGAGGGGATATTCATAATTTCATTTCAAGTCAAGAATATGATAGACTGTGATTGTTTATTTGCAGTTATGGTCTTTTACTGTAAAAGCTGTCACTTTTAATTTTACTCCAGGTACATTTACTAACAACTACTCTCTTCTATTAACAGAGTTAAGAGTTTAAATGTTAACATTAAGCTGTCATGTGAAAACAGAAGCAAAAGTTTCCAAACTCCTCTTCTCAGCCCTTTTAAAAGAGGCGAGGGCTGAGGGGAACATTTGGATCAGAATTTGTTCACATCATAACATTAGTGGTCTGCCAAAATGAGATCTATATATTCATGTTTCTAAAACAAATGTTATCATACACAGAACAGCAACAGCACCATCTAATCTGAGTATTTTAATCTTAAAGCATATGCATAATTCAAATGATCTACTTACCTCAGCACGATCCAGAGCACATTCTAAAGCTTGTTGCTACAAAAACAATAAAAGCTTTCTCAAATTAATATTACTATATAGAGTTCTTTAACTATCATATTACAAATGTTATTTTTTATAAATGAAATGATCACATCTATCAATTTATATGACATATCAAATCTGCAATTCTTAAGGAGTCACTGGGAACTGAAATTAATTAGACTGCCATGACAGTTGTTTAAGGAATCTATTATCAACCATAATGCTATTACAGACAATCCAGAAAATACTGGTACAAGTTGAGTATCCCTTTATCCAAAATGCTTGGGACCTGAAGTGTTTTGGATTTTAGGGTTTTTTTAGGATTGCAGAAAACCTACATTTGCATTTAGGTACATAATGAGATAAATTCAAGATGGGACCTAAACATTAAATATATGTATGGGTTTCACATACACCTTACACACATAGGCTGAAGGTAGTTTTATACAATATTTTTTTAAAATGTGCATGAAATAAAGTTTGTGCAAATTGAAATATCAGAAAGTAAAAGTGTAACTGGAACCTCAATCCATGGCTGATACGAAATGAGAGACTCCCTCATGGCCACACAGAAGACTGGGCAACTTGGAAAGCACAGAACAGACTGCACTCCACCACCACGAAATGCAGAACCAACCTTACGAAATGGGGCCACAAAGTGGAGTCCACAACATGCAAGTGTAGAGAAGAGTCTAAATACGTGGTTGTTCCAGTGTGCCTTGCCAGAATAAGGAAAATTATCGGCAATATGCCCTCAGAATGCACTTTACTACTGGTTTAGGACTGACTGCGTCCCCTCATCTCTCTTTGAAAACCCTATACCAGTTATATCCTACCTTGTTCATGCCCAGTGTTTATTTTTAAATTTTTAAACTATTACATTTGGCCCAGCCATAGGTTTTTTAAATCCTTGTGTGTTACTCTATACTGTTTATATGTGATTCATATTAATTGTATTGTATTTATTGTTTTTGTTTACTGCTTCTGTTTATTGATGTACTGTTGGGCTTGGCCTCATGTAAGCCGCTCTGAGTCCCTTGGGGAGATGGTGGCAGGGTATAAATAAATATTATTATTATTATTATTATTAAGAGCAAACCAGAGATCACCTATTACAATGCAATCTGAGCCCTGCCACACGAACAATTAAGGACCTTCTTATAGCAACACCAAAGGCACTCCAAGTGGCAAGCTAATGGTCAAAGGACATCTAATATAAAGCTAATTTTTTAAAAAAAAACTTTGTGTTTTTTAAATACATTACAACTGTACCCTTGGTTCACTCCTGATATGAAAAATAAATAAATAAATGCAGGGGTTTATATAAAATGTTTTGTGGGAACACGAGCTTTGCTGAAACAGAATGGAAAATGAAATGCATAACTAGCATTAAATATGCAATACGGTCTGATGCATACATGTGGGGAAGAAATACTACAAAGACTGTAGGATCATATTGCTACCTACTGATCATCAGATCAAAATCCTTTCTTAGTAGTTAATAGGCTTGGGCAATCAAAAAAATGGTTCTAAACTCATTTCGTATATAGGGGGCGCTGGCGATTCGATTTTAAAATGATTTCTGAAATTTTCTTGAAAAAAAATTGGAAATAGCAAGAAATCCGAATCACTTCGTTTGCTTCATTAATGGAAGGTGCCCCTCCCTCCCTCCAGAACCATTAAGTAACTTTGACAAAGTCAGCCTAAACAAACAGTTTTAAAATCTCGCAGTTTCCCTTCCCTGTTAGTTTTAAAATCTCGCGGTTTCCCTTCACCGTTAGTTTTAAAATCTTGCAGTTTCCCTTCCCTGGTGGCGAGCTGCCATGCAGAGGGACGAGGTTGGCGTGGCTAAGCACAGCTCCCCTTGAAGGCCACGCCCCCAGCGGCCTTCAAGGAAGAGCTGTGCTTAGCCACGCCCACCTTGTCCCTCTGCATGCAGCTCGCCGCCAGGGAAGGGAAACAGCGAGATTTTAAAACTAACACTTTTAAAATCTCGCAGTTTCCCTTCCCTGGCGGCGAGCTGGCAGAGGGACGAGGTGGCGTGGCTAAGCACAGCTCTTCTTGAAGGCCGCTGGGGGTATGGCCTTCAAGGAGAGCTGTGCTTAGTCACGGCCACCTCGTCCTGCTGAATGGCAGCTCGCCACCAGGGAAGGGAAACTGCGAGATTTTAAAACGTGGCCTTCAAGAAGGGAAACCGCGAGGCTTTGCCAAAGTTGCTTAATTGTTCTAAAAATCAAAATAACTGTGGGAGATATCCGAAAGTAATTCCGAACAATGGGTAAGTGGTTTAAATTAGGAATTACTCCTCCCACTATACCTGCATGGCTTGAAATTGGTTCAAAAGAGATTTTTTTCTGAATTACTTACGATTTTAGAAGCTTCCGAACGAACTTGCCCAAGCCTAGTAGTTAAGCATCAGGACAGCACTCTTAGTTATATATAAAGATTATCCAGACTCCAGGTTAATCAGATTCTTAAATGAGCAAACTGTTGTTTTAAAATACATTTTGTATCACAATTGACAAATACATTCTTTTCTAGTCACAAATTTCCAAAATAACTTAGCAATAGAGCAAGGGAAATCTTACCATTGTGGCTGAGGTTCAGGGACAAGAAGAACCAAAGAAATATTTAGATTCTGAGAGAGGAAGCCATGTTCTATTTACCCTAAAGCTGATGAAAGAAATAACATTTATCACAAAAGAATGAAGACATTCTACTAAAATTTTATTTTCAATTATATTTTGAAGAACAGACTTTATATGTACATTTACTAGGATGAGACACGGTCCAAGAAAATTAAATCGTGTTTGAACAACTATTTTCCTCATCTATCCAATCAAAACACAAATAATCACCAAACTGCCTTCTAGTAAAACTTTCAGAGTGAGGCTGAATTTAAAAAACTTCACAGAGTTGGAAAAAACATAAAATACTACCTTGCCAGACCCTATATATAAAGTATAAGGACATACACATTGTCATCCATTTATTCTGTTAAGTAAACAGTTATTGCATGTTTTGCCTCTTTCTTAGGTCAGTGTCTAAGTACTGACATAGCAGTGTAGCGTGGGTGTTTGTGTATATATACCTTGTATATATATGTGTGTGTGTGTGTGTGTGTGTGTGTGTGTATATATATATATATATATATATATATGCCTTCAAATTGCCTGTTGACTTATGGTGATCCTGTGAATTTTACAGAGGCGTCTTAGACAACAATATGTAGAGGAGTTGCCATTTCCTTCCTCTAAAATAGCAGTCCTCAACCTGTAGGGGTCGAACGACTGTTCCACAGGGAGTCGCTGCTTCGGGTCCGAGAAGGGGCTCCTCCTACTCTTCCTCCAGCGGTACAAGGCAGAGAGGAGTCCCAGGGAAGCGCCTGGAAGCAGAGGCATGTGCAGTGGGAAAAGGTGAATAATAATAATAATCATCATCATCATCATCTTTATTTGTACCCCGCCACCATCTCCCCAATGGGGACTCAGGGCGGTTTACATAAGGCCCCCTCTTTCTCCCACTTTCCTTCTTTTCCCCCTTCCCTCTCTTTTTCTTTCTCGCCATTTATTTCCCTTTCTCGCCTCTCCTTCTCTCTTGTTCTATTCCTTTCTTTTCTTTTTCTCTTTGTCCCCCTCATTTCTCCCCCTTCTCCTTTGTATATACTTTTCTTTCCCCCCTCCTTTCTCTTCCCTTTTCTCCCCCTTTCCTTCTCTTTCCCTTTTTCTTTCTCATGCCTCCCTTTCCCTTGCTTTCTCTTTTCTATCCCTTTTGTTTCTTTACATCTTCCTCCCCCTCTGTTCTCTTCTTCCTCCTCCCTTCTAGTCTCTTCTCTCTATCCATCCCTTTTCTATTGATAATTCTATTCTTCTTTCACCTCTATCTCCCTCCCTTTATTTCTATCAATTCCCTTTTCTCTTTCTTTGTCACCCCCTTTCCCCCTCAATCTCTTTCCCTTTTTTCTATTTGTCCCTCATTTTCTTTTTCCCTCCCTTCTAACAACTTATCTCTTTCCCTCTTTTCTATTTGTCCCTCATTTTCTTTTTCCCTCACTTCTTGCATACTATCTCTTTCTTCCTCTCCTTCCCTTTCTCTCCTCCCTCCCCTTTCTTTCTCTAATGCTTTTTATCTTTCTCTCCTTCCTTTTTGCTCTCTCGTGTGCCCCTTTCTCCCTTCGCTTTCTTTCCTTTTTTTCTCTTGCGATCCTCTCTCCTTTTTTTCTTTCTCCCTCTCTCCCGTGTCACCTTCTCTATCCCTTTCTTTTCTCTTTTCCCCTCCCTTCCCACTCCTATCTTTCTTTCTCAGCCTTAAAGGAAGGCAATGGTGACAACACAATATGGCCAAGAAAACCCTGATGGTTTTTGCCCTAAGATTTCCAAAAACCAGGTTTGGTTTGAGGTCACATCAGAGCAGCCTTCTTCTAAAGAAGAGACCTTCTCATCCACATCCTTGTTCAAGCCTTTACAAGTTCATCCCTCCTTTTAGGCATATATAGGCAGTCCTCAAAGTACAAACAAGATAAATTCTGTAGGCTTGTTCTGAAGCTGAATTTGTATGTAATCCAGAATAGGTACATTTCTTAAGTGTAACTCCAGCCATATACTGTTTTTGCTTTAATTATGTTCAACTTGTAGCAATAAAATGCATCCTGCTTATCAGATATTTACATAACAATTCACAACAATAGCAAAATTACAGTTATGAAGTAGCAACGAAAATAATTTTATGGCTGAGGGTCACAACATGAGGAAGAGTATTATAGGGTCGCAGCATTAGGAAGGTTGAAAACCACAGCCCTAAAACATAGTGCAGCACCTGATATTTGTTGATGGTGCTAACTAAGGTTGAGTCTGCTTAGCTTTCAAGATTAGACAAGATGTAATGTTTAAGGTTAAACATCTGATTGACAAAAATATGCCAAATATATTTTAGCGGCATTCCATGCAGTCATACCGGCTACATGACCTTGGAGGTGTCTACGGGCAATGTGGGCTCTTTGGCTTAGAAATGGAGATGAGCACCACCTCACAGAGTCGGACACGACTAGATTTAATCTCAAGGGGAAACCTTTACCTTCATATGTATTACCAAATAACTTTAAAGCCTGGCAATATGATTAAAATTGAAAAGAAGAAAAAACCCAGGAATTATTTAATACACGTTTAAATGTAAGCCCAACAGTGATTTTCAAGCACTGAACCACCAAACCATACAGTCTTCTGCTCCAGAGTTCCTGATAACTGTCAGTGCTGGCTGGATGTTCTTCAAGTTGAATATAAAACATCTAGACAAGGAAAGGTTGAGACCCATTTGCCCAATAAACTTGATGGTTCTGTTATGATCAAAACCTGGCTCTGTGCTCATCTGACCCAAACTATGCCAGATACATGCAATCCGGTATCCTACAGAGGTATTAAACAGAACTTCCCATTAGCCAAGCAGCACACCCAAGACCAGATGTTATGGAAGTGGAATCCAATACATCAGGAAGGCCCCGGGTTTTGTAGTCCTGCATGTGGTAGTTTGTCCCTCTGTAAGGACTATGTGTGTGTTCCAGAACTGAGGATTTTGCCAACCCAGTTTAACATTGGAGTAAAATAAAGGTCAGCTATATCTAAACTTTACAGGAAGTAAACCAATTAGCATTAAATCATTCTTGGCTTTGAGCTCTAAAAAAACCTACAACATATTTCCAAATATCAATGAGTTCCCAATAATCAGAAAATGGAGGATTCCTACAATATTGAAAAAAATGTACACATCTTTGCATTTTGCAAGATCTTTCATTATATCTGTCAGTCCACTTAGTGAGTAGAAAGGGACTACAGGAAATGATCTTTGTCAGTTAAGACATAAAAGTGAAGCATCTAGACTGCTACAGAGGAAATACAGCAAGAAGTAGAGAGAGAATCACTTTTAGTGCTTTAGAATTCTACTGAAGAGAAGGATTTGCCAATTGTGACTGCCCACATTTCTCTTAGGCCCTTTCTACACTGCCATATAAAATCCAGATTATCTGCTTTCAGCCAGATTATATGGTAATGTAGGGTGAAATAATTTGGTTCAAACAGATAATGTGGAGTATCTGCTTTGATAATCTGGATTATATGGCAGTGTAGATCCAGCCTAATTTACAGCCATCAGCCAAGGGAAGGAATGAAGATTATTTCACAGCTGCTTGTCCCTTTGCTTTGAAAAACGACACATTATGCTATATGAAAAAGTATGCTATCTGTATGTAGTGGCAGCGATGGGTTATTTGACTGCCTTCAATCATTAGGCTAGGCATCTTCAAACTGCGGCCCTCCATCTGAAGAGGGCTTATGAGAGTTGGAGGCCCAAACAGTTGGAAAGCCACAGTTTGAGGATGTCTGCACTAGGCGATCAACCGACAGTTCTGAAATTTACTGGCATGCCATCCTGGAAGTTTTCAGATTTAAGATCTGAAGTACTTCCATTTAAGTAACAGGGAGAAATTAACCTTTGGAAAAAACCTTATTATTCATTTGAAAATGTGAACTAAGCTCTTAGGTTGAGGAATTTCTTTAGGCTTATCTTCAAGTATATACGGTATGTTGAATTGGTTGTGACTCAGTGAGATATTTATTGAAAAACTATAAAAATGTGCTGCAAGGTGTCCCACAAAAAAAACAAAGTTTCTGGCAGGCCTACCCAGTCAATTTGAAGTTCTGAATTTTAATCTGCATTTTATCACTGGATTTTAACTTGGATTTTACCTCTTTGTATTTTGTTGTATGTCTTTCAATAGTGTTTTATCTCCAAGTATTGGCCTTTACAATAAACTCAATCAGGGGAAATATGGGGAGTGCACAGACAAAGAAAGTAACCTGGAAAGTATACTCACCAAAGGACAGAAAACAGGGTAAGCATTAGTAGAAGCAATATACAAATTGATGATAAAGGATGTGAATATATAGTAAGAACACTACAGAATAAATGGCAAAAGGAAGGGCCCCTCACAAAACAAAGTATAGAGCAAATAAAGAAGGGAGTTAAGAACATTAAATTGGAAAAATATGAAGAGTTAGAAAGAAAATTTATTTGGAAATAGTACAGAACACCAGTAATCAACGTGGTGGAGCCATTCAGCTGTGGAACTCTCTGCCCTGGAGTGTGTGGAGGCTCCTTCTTTGGAAGCTTTTAAACAGAGGTCGCATGGCCATCTGTCAGGGGTGCTTTGAATGCAATATTCCTGCTTCTTGGTGGGGGGTTGGACTGGATGGCCCATGAAGCCTCTTCCAACTCTATGATTCTAAGGCATAGAATTAAGCCCAATACGTTGGCACTGTAAAGCAGATAAAGGTTGGTATGTCCACATATGGTGGGAATGCCTAAATGCAACAAGTTTTTGGGAAAAGAAAGAAAATGGAAAAATTATTCAAACTATCAATTCAGGTAAACATGGAATTTATTTTAATGGCAGTAACAAGGAACTTATTGGAAGCAATGATCCTAGCAAGAAAGGCAGTAATGGAGAAATTAAAAATGGAATCTGGAAAATGGGAACAACTACCTATGTGATCAAGTCCAATTGGACATTATAGCATGTACAGTCCGATAAGGTGCACAGGATGATAAAACAGAAGAAATTAAAGCGAAATGGCTGATTTATATGGAATGGATAGAAAGTGGTGAAGCCAATATAGCTATTGTACAAAGATTAAGAAAATTGTGTTCATGGGTTAAAGTTAAAGATATAGAGGGAAATGTGATGGGGGGATAGTGAAGGGAGGGCGGAAGGGGGATTTAAAAATAATTTTGTAAAAAAGGTGAATAGGTGATATAGAAATACTTCAATATTTACGATGTATATACACAATATTTATTAACTATTCACAGATTGTGCTACTGGGTACTCAATACAATTATTATAAAATAAAAGTAGTGTTTTTTCTCTGGTTTTCATGATGTTGTGATCTATGGATGGAACAAATTAAGAACTTTGGCCCAAAAGCAAGGTGCTGGCTGCTGAACAACTGCAATGCATCCTGCCAGATCCCTAAAATCTGGAGGAAAGCAAGAGTCATAGCCATTTTGAAACCAGGCAAAGACTGTAATGATCCAAAAAGCTATAGACCAATCTCCTTGTTGTTCCATCTTTATAAAGCTCTGGACATAATTATGGAAAATAGACCCATTTATGATCCCACAGCTTGCTGGTTTCAGGAAAGGGGAAAAGCTGCACATCATAAGTGCATCACAAGATGGTTTTGAAAAAGATTACAGAAGCTGCCTTCATAGACCTGTCAGCAGCTTATGATACAGTAAAACATTGCCTCCTCCTGGAAAAAAACCCACCTCACCCACTTCTTATTGAGTTCCAGGGCCAGAGAAGCAGATGGCAAAAACAAAGGAATGGCTTGTCTCAGAGGAGCATGCTTGCTCCATCAGTGTTTAACATTTACACAAATGACCAGCCACTGCCAGAAGGAACAGAAAGAGTCATCTATGCTGACAATCATGACATCACCGCTCAAGCAGGGAGCTTTGAAATAGCTGAACAGAAGCTCTCAGAAGCTTTGTGCTTTTACTGCCTATTACAGGGAAAACAAGCTGATTCCTAATCCAACTAAAACACAGAAGTGTGCTTTCCATCTTAAGAACAGTCAAGCATCTTGAGAACTGAGGATTACCTGGGAAGGAATCCCACAGGAACATTGCAGCACACCAAAATACCTGGGAGTTACTCTAGACCAGGGGTCCACAAACCCTTTAAACAGAGGGCCAGGTCACAGTCCCTCAAACTGTTGGGAGGGCCGGATTATAATTTGAAAAAACATGAATGAATTCCTACACTGCACATATCTTATTTGTAGTGTAAAAAACACTTTAAAACAATACAATAATTAAAATGAAGAACAATTTAAAACAATATAAACTTATTAGTATTTCAGTGGGAAGTGTGGGCCTGCTTTTGACTGATGAGATAGGATTGTTGTTGTTGTTATGTGCTTTCAAGTAGTTTCAGACTTAGGTTGACCCTGAGCAAGGGCAGGATAAATGACCTTGGAGGGCCATATCCAGCCCCGGGGCCTTAGTTTGAGGACCCCTGCTCTAGACCATACTCGGACTTATAAGAAGCAGTGCTTGAATATCAAGCAAAACGTGGGTGCTAGAAATAATATCATATGAAAGCTGACTGGCACAACCTGGGGATCACAACCAGACACAGTGAAGACACCTGGCCTTGCCCTTTGCTACCCTGCTGCTGAAATGCATGCCCAGTGTGGAATACATCTCACCATGTTAAAACAGTGGAAAGAGCGAGAAATGTGGAGCCAGTGACAGACTCTGTATTTCTGGGTTTGAAAATTACAGCAAAGGCAAACTACAGCCAGGAAATCAGATGTTTACTTCTTGGGATGAGAGCAGTGACCAATCTCAATAAAATAGTGAAGAGTAGAGACATCATACTGGCAATGAAGGTCCACATAGTTAAAGCAATAGTATTCCCCATAGTAACCTATGGATGCGAGAGCTGGACCATAAGGAGGACTGAGCAAAGGAAGATAGACACTTTTGAACTATGGTGTTGGAGGAAAATTCTGAGAGTGCCTTGGACTGCAAGATCAAACCAGTCCATACTCCAGGAAAAAAAAAACCCTGCTCAGTGGAGGAAAAGCTATTAAAGGCAACCATGAAGTATTTTGACCACATAATGAGAAGACAGGATACCTTTGAGAAGATAATGATACCGGGGGGGGGGGGGGGGGGGGGGGGGGGGAGAAAAAAGGAGAGGGGTCAACCAGATGGCTGGATGGTATCCTTGAAGTAACTGGCTTGACCTTGAAGAAGCTGGGGGTGGCGATGGCTGACAGCTAGCTCTGGAGTGGGTTGGTCCATGAGGTCCATGGGAAGTAGCAGCCAATAATGAATGGAACAAGGCATTGACATCTCTGGTCCATTCCCTGTTCAGATATGAGCCAGCACGTCAACGTCTTAAACCAAGAAATAGCTTCCTAATATCTACAGAGATACTTGCAGGAACACCACAGCAAGCAAGAGTCCAAAAGTGGCAGGCTAAAACCCAGAACATCAATCAGCGGCTGAGACCAGATAAGAAACTCCTTCCTGGGCACACAGCAGGCTGGAAGACTTGGAAGGCACAAGGTGTAGAACCAATATTAAGAAATGGGGCTACAAAGTAGAGTCAACAACATGGGAGTGTGGAGAAGAGCAAACCACAGACCACCTACTACAATGCAGCATCAGCCCTGTCACATGCACAATGGAGGACCTTCTCACAGCAACACCAGAGGCACTCCAAGTGGTCAGCTACTGGTCAAAGGAAATTTAGCACAATGCCAAGTTTTTAACTTTGTTTGTGGTTTTTTATACATTATAACTGTATTCTCAATTCATTTCTGACACAATAAATAAATAAAACGAGCCTCTGCTTAAAAACCTCCACCCCAAGGCAGGAATATATTCCATTGCTGATCAGCTCAGGAAGTTCTTCCCATTGTTCAGATACCATTCCTTTCCATGCAGTTTATGTGCCTCCGTGTCCTTTCCGACCCATGGCGGCCCTTCGACGGAGTTTTCTGAGGCCGAGAGGGTGCGGTTCACCCAGGATCACTCAGTGGGAGTGGGATCCGAACCCGTGTCTCTAGAGCCATAGCCTGGCGCTCAAACAGGACAAAAGGCTTCCTCCAGCTGCGTGGGTCTCCAAGTCCCAGAAGCCCTCGCCAGCTTGCTCCATGGTCAGGAATTCTGGGAGTTGGAGGGCTGCAGTTTGAGACCAAGCTCGGTAATAGTATGAAAGCTGGGTCCGGAAGCGCTGAGCCTTACGCTGTTTCCGCTGCGCTGCACTGTTTGCACAACGCAGAATGGAACACAGTTATTAAAGAAGGAATGTAAGATTTATTTAATGGTAAAACCTTAACCAAGTAAAACCAAGTAGCAACAGTCAGAACTGACCACGGAACAACAGACTGGTTCAAGATTGGGAAAGGCGTACAGCAAGGCTGCATACTCTCACCCAACCTTTTTAACTTGTATGCAGAACACATCATGCGATGTGCGGGGCTTGATGAATGCAAAGCTGGGGTGAAAATTGCTGGAAGAAACATTAACAACCTCAGATATGCAGATGACACCACTCTGATGGCTGAAAGCGAGGAGGAGCTGAGGAGCCTTCTAATCAAGGTGAAAGAAGAAAGCACAAAAGCCTAGGTTGCAGCTAAACGTCAAAAAAACCAAGATTATGGCAACAAGAATGATTGACAACTGGAAAATAGAGGGAGAAAATGTGGAGGCCGTGACAGACTTTGTATTTCTAGGTGCAAAGATTACTGCAGATGCAGACTGTTGCCAGGAAATCAGAAGACGCTTACTTCTTGGGAGGAGAGCAATGTCCAGTCTCGATAAAATAGTAAAGAGTAGAGACATCAGACTGGCAACAGAGATCCGCCTAGTCAAAGCCATGGTATTCCCTGTAGTAACCTATGGATGTGAGAGCTGGACCTTAGGGAAGGCTGAGCGAAGGAAGATAGATGCTTTTGAACTGTGGTGTTGGAGGAAAGTTCTGAGAGTGCCTTGGACTGCGAGAAGATCCAACCAGTCCATCCTCCAGGAAATAAAGCCCGACTGCTCATTGGAGGGAAGGATACTAGAGACAAAGTGGAAGTATTTTGGCCACATCATGAGGAGACAGCAAAGCCTAGAGAAGACAATGATGCTGGGGAAAGTGGAAGGTAAAAGGAAGAGTGGCCGACCAAGGGCAAGATGGATGGATGGCATCCTTGAAGTGACTGGACTGACCTTGAAGGAGCTGGGGGTGGTGACGGCCGACAGGGAGCTCTGGCGTGGGCTGGTCCATGAGGTCACGAAGAGTCGGAGACCACTGAACGAATGAACAACAACAACAAAACCTTAACCCTTACCCTAACCCCTAATTCTAACCCTAACCCTTGTCCTACTCCAAACCCTAAACCTCATCCTAAACGTTACCCTAATCCCCTCCTTTCTATCCTTCCACCAAATTGAAGTCTATCCCCGCCCTCCTCCGCGTGCCGCTCTCCCCTTCCCTTATTCACAACCGCCTTTGCGGAATGTGCGTAACACTCGGAGCTTCTGGGCCCAGCTATCACTCCCCAAGCTCCAATGCAAGAGAAGAGACAAGGGCAGCCCTCAACACGTGAGACGGCCACCTGTGAAGCGCCGCTTACTCCGACACCTGTATCTCCGCCCATTCAAACCGCGACTGAACAACATGGCAACGCCGCGAAGGGCCCCAAACAACCGCGACCCCCGCTCACCACAGCCAGTGACTCTTCCTCCTCCGCTTTCAGCAGCGGCTCTTGAAACCCAGCTTCCGCCCGAAGGAAGAACCGCGCGCGCGCAGACTCGCATCTCGCGATGCTGCTGAGACCGGAATTGCTCGCTTCTCACGGGCACTCTGAAATCTCGCCTGCAGCGCACTTCCCGCGAGAGTTGTGCTTACTACTGCTGCTGCTCTAGTTCAGCTGAATGCTTGTAGGCCCGCGTTTAAGGCACGTGGGGAGTTCTTATTATTATTATTATTATTATTATTATTATTATTATTATTATAACTTTATTTGTACCCCGCTAGCATCTCCCAAGGGATTCGATGCGGCTTACAACAGGCCGGAGCCCAACACAATACAACAGTTCTTATTTATTTGTCGTGTCAGGGCAACCAGTCGATTATATTACATTTCTAACAGAACAAAGCAAACACACAGATAAAATACAGCATTTGTGAGTTTGGTAGTTGGTTAAATGTCCTTTGACCAGTATCTGGCCACTTGGAGTGCTTCTGGTGTTGCTTCAAGAAGGCCCTCCATGGTGCATGTAGCAGGGCTCAGGTTGCATTGCAGCAGGTGGTCAGTGGTTTGCTCTTCTCCACACTCGCGTGTCGTGGATTCCACTTTGTAGCCCCATTTCTGAAGGTTGGCTCTGCATCTCGTGGTGCCAGAGCGCAGTCTGTTCAGCGCCTTCCAAGTCGCCCAGTTTTTTGTGTGCCCAAGGGGGAGTCTCATTTGGTATCAGCCAGTGGGATTCTTTTCCAGGTAATCCTCAGAGCTCAGGATGCTTGTCTGTTCTTGAGATGAAAAGCACATGTCTGTGTTTTAGTCTTAAGCATCACTTTGCTTGCATAGGAAATAAATGCAATGTTCTGATTTTATTTGTCGTGTCAGGGCAACCAGTCAATTGTATTACATTTCTACCAGAACAAAACAAACAAACAGACAAAATACAAAATTTGGGAGTTTGGTAGTTGATTAAATGTCCTTTGACCAGTAGCTGGCCACTTGGAGTGCTTCTGGTGTTGCTGTAAGAAGGTCCTCCATGGTGCATATGGCAGGGCTCAGGTTGCATTGCAGCAGGTGGTCAGTGGTTTGCTCTTCTCCACACTCGCATGTCGTGGATTCCACTTTGTAGCCCCATTTCTGAGTTGGCTCTGCATCTCGTGGTGCCAGAGTGCAGTCTGTTCAGCGCCTTCCAAGTCGCCCAGTTTTCTGTGTGCCCAGGGGGGAGTCTCTCATTTGGTATCAGCCATTGGTTGAGGTGCTAGGTTTGAGCCTGCCACTTTTGGACTCTGGCTTGCTGAGGTGTTCCAGCAAGTGTCTCTGTAGATCTTAGAAAACTATTTCTAGATTTAAATCATTGACGTGCTGGCTGATACCCAAACGGGATGAGCTAGAGATGTCTCTGCCTTGGTCCTTTCACTATTGGCTGCTACGTCCCGGCTGATGTCAGGTGGTGCAATACCGGCTAAGCAGTGTAATTTCTCCAGTGGTGTAGGGCGCAGACACCCTGTGATAATGCGGCATGTCTCATTAAGAGCCACATCCACTGTTTTAGGTGGTGAGATGTGTTCCACACTGGGCATGCGTACTCAGCAGCAGAGTAGCATAGCGCAAGGGCAGATGTCTTCACTGTGTCTGGTTGTGATCCCCAGGTTGTGCCAGTCAGCTTTCGTATGATATTGTTTCTAGCACCCACTTTTTGCTTGATGTTCAGGCAGTGCTTCTTGCAGGTAAGAGCACGGTCCAGAGTGACTCCCAGGTATTTGGGTGCGTTGCAATGCTCCAGTGGGATTCTTTCCCAGGTAATCCTCAGAGCTCGGGTGTCAGGATGTGGCCTTCATGCTATGAAAACACGGCCGGAACCATGAAGACTCCCTCCTGACAATAGAATAGTTTATGGCTTGATAGGGAGCCATCTGGTTGCAGAGACTGCTTTGTAGATGTGGGAATGGAATGTAGTCACAACTTGAGATAAGGAGGGGAGAAGGGAGGAGGCGCCCAGGGGGAATGTGTTACTGGCCGTTGACGGGAAAACTTCAGATCTCTCTTTGCATGGCTCCTGTATGGACTGAATAAACCGATATCCAAAGGATTTACTTTGTGAGTGTGTGTTTCATTCTGAGATCCCGCAGGATCTGACATAAAGAGAGATCTGAAGTTTTCCAGCCTTAACGATCCATCAGCCTTCAGCCTAAACAGCACGGGTGCTGCCACTGGGGAGCTGGATGGCTCTATGAATCCCCTTTCCAAGTTCTTGTCGATAAACTCTCTTAGGGCTTTTTTTTTCTGGCTCTGACATTGCATATAGCTTAGGGCTTGGCAGCGTGGCATTGGGTTCAAACTCAATGGCACAGTCCGTTTTTCTATGGGGCGGCAGCTGGTCACATTCAGTCTCACTGAAAACCTCAGCCCACTTTCGGTAGACGCTTGGGATGTCGACTCCCTGGCCTTCAGGCGCTGCCTCTGCCCGGGCCCCTTGGGTTTGAGACTTGTGCGATGCCTGTGCGGGCCCTCTATGTCTGTATTCCCCATCTGTAAAGACGAGAGTTCCCTCTGCCCAGTTAATCCGGGGATTTTGCCATTTTAGCCACGGGATCCCCAAGATGACTGGCTGATGGGCCATGGGAGATATTATAAATTGTAAAGTCTCTTTGTGGGTCCCCATCTCTAAGTGTAAGTAACCCGTTTTCTCCCTCACTGGGGCCCCATGGGCAGAGGACCCATCTAGCTGGGCGAAGACAATGGGCGTCTTTAGGGGTTGGGGCTTGACCCCCAATTGGGCCGCTAGTGTCGGGGTGATTAAGCACCTGGTACACCCACAGTCCAACATTGCCTCCGTTTCTACTTTCAACCCCGACTCTGGATTTGTTAGAGTTATCGTCATTTTAACTACATCACAGTTGAGCCTTTTTAACTCACCGCCTTGGGAGCCTTCGATCTGCCTGCCGGCGGCCTTCACAGGAGATCTTGCCCGTTTCCCGTCAGGGGGTAGTCGTCGTCTGCGTCCTCCAGCTCAACCTCTTCCGCAGGGAGCTGGTGGGGCCCCAACGCTGTCTCCACAGCTGTGGAGGCTTTTCCTTTAGCGGCTTTAGGGCCCGGTGTCGGTTTTTGGGGAAGGGCCTTGTCGACCTTGGAAGCGCTGGACCCTCTGGTGCATTCGGCGGCTCTGTGCCCTTCCCGGCCGCAGGAGAAGCAGGGCCCCCTCCTTCCTCTCCTCTCGCGGCTGGACGATCTCCCTCTGGGCGAGGGGCGTCTCATCCCTCCAGGTTGGCCGGCTGCCGGGTGTCGGATTCTCCCTCTCTCCTTCGCTCGACGTGGCATCTGTTCTTGGTCGCACTCGACCCTCCCAGCCAAAACGATCCAATCCTCCAGGTTATCAGGGTTTTCGCGATGCATAGCCCACTCCAAAACGTCGGAGCGTAGCCCGGCTCGAAAATATTCCAGTTTAGTGGTTTCAGACCAGTCTCTGATCCTGCCAGCTATCGCTTTGAATTCCAGGGCATATTCGGATACAGTCTTATTTCCCTGGTAGATCTTTTTTAGCTGTCCCTTTGCTTTTTCTTGGGCTAGGGGGGTCCTGGAACCTCTCTCGGAGCGCCCTCAGAGATGGGGACTGTGTTCACCCAACAACAAATGGGATTGGTAGTACAGACGAGAGCCAAGCTTCAGAATAAGCTGCAGCCCCCGAGTCAGCCCACAGAACTGTTAAAGAGACTAGGAGACGCTTCAGAGACAGATGAATGGTTACAGCAACATAAGGGAGACCTCACCCAAGCTGGTGAGCTGTGGACATATGGGTCTAAATATTATGTGCCTGCTTCCATGCGGAAAGACATCATGAAGGGGGGCCATGACTCTGTGTTGGCTGGGCACTTTGGCTTTACCAAGACCCTCAAGCTGCTGGCACGACAGTTCTGGTGGCCCGCTATGCGGAAAGACATAAGGGATTATGTGCTGGAATGCTCCACCTGTGCAAAAAACAAACAGAAGGTGGGGAAACCTACGGGCCTGTTGCAACCCGTGGCTAATCCTACACAGCCGTGGACAGATATAGCCATGGATTTTGTGGTGGAATTACCCGACAGCCAGGGATATAACACCATTTGGACTGTGATTGACCTATTTTCCAAACAAGCCCACTTTGTGGCCCTGAAAAGGCTTCCCTCTGCCCCGGAGCTAGCGAAGCTGTTCCTGCATCATGTGTTCAGGTTACACGGCTGTCCACGCAGAGTGATAACAGACAGGGGTACTCAATTCACCTCCAAATTTTGGAAATCATTTCTAACTATGTTGGGGGCGGAACGGGCGCTAAGCACGGCGTTCCATCCCGAGACTGATGGGGCCACGGAAAGAGTCCAAAAGACCCTACAACAGTTTTTGAGATGTTACTCCACATATCAGCAGGATCAATGGGCTTCCATGCTAGACCTGGCCGAATATTGCTATAATAACAGTGATCATGCTTCCACGGGAGCCTCCCCTTTTAAGATAGTGGGGGGAAGAGACTTTCCTCCTTTTCCGGGACTAACCCCACCAGGGCCAGGAGGGGCCCCTCCAAACGAATGGGGAGAAAAAATTGCAGCGTCTTGGCCAATTATTACAGAGACCCTAGACAGGGCTAAAAGGGAATATAAAAAGTTCGCTGACAAAAAGCGGTCTGTGCAGCCGCCGCTGAAGGTGGGGGACTTAGTTTATTTGTCAACCAAGTACCTGAGGTCCACACAACCGTCCCGGAAATTGTCAGCTTTGTTTCTAGGTCCTTTTCGGGTCCAGGAGATAATAAATCCAGTGGCAGTGCGCCTTGACCTACCACACACGTGGAGAAAGGTACACCCAGTGTTTCATGTCAGCCTGCTTAAGCCTGCATGTCCTTCCCAGAAGTGGTCAGAGCCGGACTCGCAGCCTGTCCCCATTATGGTGGGGGCCCATACCCATTTTGAAATTAAGGACATATTGGACTCTAAACGGACCAGAGGCAAACTGTATTATTTGGTTCAATGGGCCTCGAAGGCTATTCATCCTGAATGGGTGGTGCAAGAACATGTTAGAGCACCCCGGTTGATTAAAAAGTTCCATGTTTCCTTCCCACACAAGCCGGGGCCATGATGTTATTGTTGCTCACATTTCTCTCTTTCTTTCTTTCCAGGTGGGGCCCATCTTCAAGGGGGGGAGTTATGTCAGGATGTGGCCTTCATGCTATGAAAACATGGCCGGAACCATGAAGACTCCCTCCTGACAATAGAATAGTTTATGGCTTGATAGGGAGCCATCTGGTTGCAGAGACTGCTTTGTAGATGTGGGAATGGAATGTAGTCACAACTTGAGATAAGGAGGGGAGAAGGGAGGAGGCGCCCAGGGGGAATGTGTTACTGGCCGTTGGCGGGAAAACTTCAGATTCTCTTTGCATGGCTCCTGTATGGACTGAATAAACCGATATCCAAAGGATTTATTTTGTGAGTGCGTGTTTCATTCTGAGATCCCGCAGGATCTGACATCGGGATGCTTGTCTGTTCTTGAGATGAAAAGCACATGTCTGTGTTTTAGATGGGTTGGGGAACAGCTGGTTTTCCCTTTAATGGGCAGTAAGAGCACCTAGAGCTTCGGAGAGCTTCTGTTCTACCATCTCATGCCAGACTAATCTTTTCGATAGAGTTACAAACTGGGAAGATGCGGGGAATGCCGTGGATGTAGTGTACCTGGATTTCAGTAAGGCCTTCGACAAGGTCCCTCTTGACCTTCTGGCAAACAAACTAGTCCAGTGTGGGCTAGGCAAAACTACGGTGAGGTGGATCTGTATTTGGTTAAATGGACGGACCCAGAGGGTTCTCACCAATGCTTCCTCTTCATCCTGGAAAGAAGTGACAAGCAGAGTGCCACAAGCAGAGTTCCGTCCTGGGCCCGGTCCTGTTCAACATCTTTATTAATTACTTAGATGAAGGGTTAAAAGGCAGGATCATCAAGTTTACAGACGACACCAAATTGGGAGGGATAGCTAATACTTCAGAGGACAGGAGCAGGATTCAAAACGATCTTGACAGATTAGAGAGATGGGCCAAAACTAACAAAATGAAGTTCAACAGGGACAAATGCAAGATACTCCACTTTGGCAGGAAAAACTAAATGCAAAGATACAGAATGGGGGACAATGCCTGGCTCGAGAGCAGTACGTGTGAAAAAGATCTTGGAGTCCTCATGGGCAACAAGTTAAACATGTGCCAACAATGTGATGAGGCGGCAAAAAAAGCCAATGGGATTTTGGCCTGCATTAATAGGAGCGGTGGTTCACAGTATCATAGGCTGCTGACAGGTCTATGAAGACAGCTCCTGTGATCTGCTGCCTTTCAAAGCCATCTTCTATGTGCTGAGTCAGGTTCAGCACTTGCGATGTGCAGCTTTTGCCTTTCCTGAAGCCAACTTGCTGTGGGATCAGACACGGGTCTATTTCTTCCGTAATTCTATGCAAAATAAGTCTCTCCAGAACTTTGTACAGGTGGCACAACAGGGAGATTGGTCTGTAGCTTTTTGAGTCATTACCTGGCTTCATCTTGAGTCTTTGCCTGGCTTCAAGATGGCAATGACTCCAGATTTTGGGGATCCAACAGGAAGCAGTGCAGTTGTTCATCAGCTCCAGCAGCCAGTGCCTTGCTTTTGGGCCAAAGTTCTTGATTTGTTCCATCCGTAGATCATCCAGGCCAGCTGCTTTGCCATTTTTACATTTATTGAGAGCCATGTCCAATTCAGTAGATGTAAAAGGTTCATGAAGGTTGTTGTTCTCAGTCTCTCGTTGTCTGGCTATTGGTTTCTTTCCTACTTTGGTGGCAAGGTTGGGTTTCCCATTCTTCATGTTCTGATAATAACAGCAATCCCTATTATTCCCCACTAGCTGTACCCACCACGCGTTAAGGTGGCCAACCTTCCCTCCCCTTTCTCTCCTTTCTTCCTTCCCCTTTTTTCTTTCCTTCTGTCCTTCCTTCCTTCTCTACCTCTTCCTTCCTTCTCTACCTCTTTCCTTTTCTTTCTCTCCTTTCTTCCTTCTCTACCTATTCTTGGACTGTAACTCCCAGCAGTCCTCCTGATTGATCGATGTATGTACCTACCTATTGGGAGGGCATTCCATAGCCAAGGGGCCACCACCAAGAAAGCCCTGTCTCTCGTCCCCACCAGACGTATTTGTGACAAAGGCGGGACTGAGAGCAAAGTCTCCCCAGACGATCTTAAAGTCCTCGATGATTCATGAGGGGAGATGCGTTTGGACAGATAAGTTGGGCCAGAACCCAACTTACCTTTTGTAATACAATATATTTAACAGGCCCCCAGTGGCACAGTGGGTTAAACCGCTGAGCAGGCATGTAGCCGGGGGGGGGGGGGCTTGAGGGGCTTCAGCCCCCCCCCCCCCCAAATTCTCATGGTGGTTCGCGAAAAGGCCTTACTGGTGCATTATTTAAACTGTTATGTTTATTCATATCATGATCTCATCACCATACTCAATATATCCCATATGCATGGGGGTATTGGGGTAATGATACAAAAGGTTTGCTAGTGTAGACCCTCTTTCACTCAGACAAGTGTGAATGTTGCAGTTGACCACCTTGATTAGCATTGATGAGCCTTTCAGTTTCAAGGTCTGGCTGTTTACTTCCAATCCTTTGTTGGGAGGTGTGAGCTGGCCCTGATTGATTCATGACTGGAATTCCTCTGTTTTCTGAAATCCACAGGAAGCATGTGGACAATTTCAACAGAAAGGAGGAAACCATGAAAATGAACAAAATATGCCTGCCAGTATTTAAAAACTGTAAAATCAGAACAGTGAATAAAGAACAACATTAAGAAAACAGAGGAATTCGAGACAGAAAACAACCGTTCTGTGATAACAACGTTGAGGGCGTTCTTACTTGCTTTGCGCTCAGTTTAAATGCATCTGTACTAAATCAGAAAACATTTTTTTGTTATGGATTTCTAATCTCTGGCCAACTGGATGTACACTGAAAAGAAAGTCCCTGGCAAACCAAGTGCCATTAGAGTGCCAGAAAATATGGAAGCAGGAAAAGCCTCCCCACAGCAGTTGTGCAGGCGTTCCACTCATAAGCAGGCCATGGTACTGGGGTTATCAAGTCAGAGTTTGAGGAGGATTCTACATGTCAGTTTAAAACTGCATCCTTAGAAAATGATTTATCTGATATGATTTTTAAAACCCATTAAAACAAAACTGTTTTATGTACTTTTCTGTAATATATACATTTTTATCTAGATAGCTTCGTGGGAGACCTTTATTCCCCAGCCTGTAAATCCCCAGCCCATTCTAATTGATCCTGTTTTCCTTGTAGGGAAGATTTCACCATGGAGGCTCCTCCAGTCACCATGATGCCAGTCACTGGCGGGACCATAAACATGATGGAATATTTACTTCAAGGTAAGTCACCAGTAAGGTTTGTCATGATGCTCTGTCTCATTCATGCTGTGTCACACCCATTTACAAGAATTCAGTTGCCTTTAGTTAGGCAGTTGTATTCTTTTTATAGCAGCAGGATTGTGAAAAAGAGAGATACCTTTATTGCGAGCTGTTTTACACATTGCAAAATGGAAAACCTAGGTCTGTTACTGAGTATGTGAGCTTACCCACAGAGGCCTTTCTCCTGCCCACCACCAGGAACTGTCACGTGGGCAAGCAAAACAGAACGTCATTTTGTTAGTGGCCTCATATTTCTGGAATCGGAAATTCATTTGGCCCCTTCTTTATAAATGAGAAGAATCTTTTTTATCCATTTTTTTCTTAAACATTGGCCAGCTGTTTAATTATTGCTGACCAACATACATTTTGCTGTCTTAAATGTTAACCTTGTAATGATAATAATAATAATCATCATCATCATCATCTTATTATTATAATAATAAACCCATAGGGACACAGGGCAGATTCCAAAAACGAAAAGGTAAACACTCAATATTGGGTACAATCATAAAATTAAACATTTACACATACAGTTAAAACAAATTAAATGACTTGGGCTAAAAAGATTTCAATCGATCACTCAGGCATCATAGTTAGTACAATTAAATAGCTTAAAACTGTTTAAAAATATAAGTCTTCGATAAATTAAATGATCATTGGGTTGTTGTAGGTTTTTTTGGGCTATATGGCCATGTTCTAGAGGCATTCTCTCCTGACGTTTCGCCTGCATCTATGGCAAGCATCCTCAGAGGTAGTGAGGTCAACCTCTGAGGATGCTTGCCATAGATGCAGGCAAAACATCAGGAGAGAATGCCTCTAGTCTAGAACATGGCCATATAGCCCAAAAAAACCTATAACCCAGTGATTCCGGCCATGAAAGCCTTCGACAATAGATTAAATGATCATTGTCAACTTTGTCCACCAAGATGAATCAGTAATATTATTCATCCTTTTCTCCATAATATTGTGATATTATTCATCCTCCTCAACATTTTGGCTAAGCAATTAAGCCAAAAAATGTGCATTACATTTGAGTAAATACAGTATTTTCAGCTTTGCATCTTTTAAACCCTAGTTGGGTCTATGTATTGTCGAAGGCTTTCATGGTCAGAATCACGTGGTTGCTGTGAGTTTTTCAGGCTGTATGGCCATGTTGCAGAAGAATTCTCTCCTGACGTTTCACCCGCATCTATGGTAGGCATCCTTAGAGGCTGTGAGATCTGTTGGAAAACTAGGCAAGTGGGGTTTATGTATCTCTGGAATGTCCAGGATGGGAGAAATAACTCTTGTCTATTTGTTTGTTTGTGTCAGACCAGAGTTCTTTCTCCCATCTTGGACATTACACAGATATATAAACCCAACTTGCCTAGTTTCCAACTGACCTCACAACTTCTGATGGTGCCTTCCACAGATGCAGGCAAAATGTCAGGAGAGAATGCTTCTGGAACATGGCCATTCAGCCCGGAGAACTCACAGTAACCTAGCGAGTCTGTTAGGACAGGAATCCTAATGATCTGTTTTTGCTGATGGGATGATTATTTATTCAGTTTGTATGACTTGTATGCCTTTTCAAGGGAGTGTTTTGGGCCAGAGCTTGGAGAGCCTCCTCCATCGGCTCTGTGGCCTTTGCGACAACATGGAACCCGAGACTTTTTTGGATCACGAAATGGTCTTCCTCCTGAAGGGCCAGCAGGCCAGCCCCTTTGTCCTCCGCACATGGCGCTCCATGGACAAGCCCAGTGCTCCTTGGCACCTGCGGTACCTTGGCCAGCCAGAAATGGGAGACAAGAACCGCCACGCCTTGGTACGCAACTGTGTTAATATTGCCACTTCTGAGAATTTGACAGACTTCCTGGTGGAAATGGGGTTCCGCATGGACCACGAATTCGTTGCCAAGGGGCACGTGTTTCGCAAGGGCATAATGAAGATTGTGGTGTATAAGATCTTCCGCATCTTGATCCCAGGAAATACTGACAACATTGAGCCCTTGTCTCTTTCCTACCTTGTGGAGCTCAGCATTGTGGCACCAGCAGGACAAGACATGGTTTCAGATGACATGAGGAGTTTTGCTGAGCAGCTCAAGCCTTTAGTTCACTTAGAAAAAATCGATCCTAAAAGGCTGATGTGAGTGTTTGGCTGTACCTAGATCTAGATCAGGCGTAGGCCAACTTTGACCCTCCCTCCAGTTGTTTTGGACTTCAACTCCCACAATTGGGAGTTGAAGTCCAAATTGGGAGATGAAGTCCAAAACAACTGGAGGGAGGTCCAAATGCCTGGTCTAGATCCTTTTAACTAGTGATCTATCTTTCAAGGTGTGTTTTAGAGGTGGTTTTCTCAACCTGCTTGGTTTTTCTTTGCTGAAATCCCTGGTAGTACACTTTCGGTAGCAGCCAAAGAAAGAGTAAAGCCATAAATGTTTCCTGCTTTCCCTCAATTTCATTTTTTAAAATAATAATAATAATAATAAAAATTTCAAAACTGCATCATTCTGTTGTAACAAAAAAATGGTTGAACGTTTCTGTTGGGAAAAAAGAATGGAGTTGCGCTAGATCTAACAAAACAAAAGCACTCTCAGTGACCGGGAAGGGGGGGGGGCACCTGGAAGGATTGGGAGGAGTCATCCCTTGGCCTTGTGGATAAAGTCAAAGGCACATCATTATTGTATTAGATATGGAAAGGAGAGAACCAGGTGACATGGGGTGGATACGCATTCATTTCTCATCTAGCCTTCTTTATGGGTTGCCTACTTAACAGGCATTTTCTTCTCTGTGTGATAAAGTCCTTAGAGTTAGAAAAAAAGGAAAAGAAACATGAAAGTAAACAAAGCCAGTTTGCAGTGATATTAATGAGGACCCCATCAGCATTGATTAGCATACAGTCCAGATTATGAGATTCACATATCAAATGTTCAAACCAGAGAATCAACATTCAAATGCAGATATAGCAAGATCTGCAAAACCACTGAATTGTAAGTGATGAGTGTATATCTATTATATATTTTATATAATATATAGATGAGTGATATAATATAAGTGAGTAATGTAAGTGATGAGTGTTTATTATGTATATATTATTATATATTTCTATATAATAATATAAATGACATTGTAATATAATAATACTAATATATATATATATATATATATATATATATATATATATAAAATTAATAATGTGATATAATACATTATATATTATATATACTGCAACTTATGATATGGTATTGTCAAGGTACAGATGCCACAAAGTCAGTCCCAAGTGCAAAGTAACAACAGTTTATTGAAGATACAGCTCAAAAGAATAAAAAATGCTTAACAGCAGCAAAATAGTATTCCAAAACAAAACACAGACCAACTGGTCAAAAAGGAGGCAAATCAGAGAGTCTCAGAGTCCTAAAAATCCCAACCCACTAACCAAAAAACACAGCAAAGGAAAGGACACGTGCTATAGTTTCAGCGAGCAAGTTCCAGGGTGTAGCAAAGTCGTAGTCAAGCCAGTCTAGGGGTCAACCACAGCAAACAGGATACCAAAGCAGCAGCGTCAAACGTCCAATCCAAGGTCAGGGCAGAAGAGCGAAGACGATGTCCAAGCCAAAACAGTAGCAGAGGGGCCACGAAGTTCAGGAATCACAACCCAGCAAACACTTTGCCAGTCGCAAAGTCCCCATTGCAACCAACCCTCCTTATATTACAAACTTTCATCTGAGCTATAATGAGACAACGCCCCACCCTCAGCTGCTCCTGCATTCTCCTCCAAACTAATGTAATACAACATAATACTAATAATATATAATAATATTGTAATATAATAATACTAAGGTAGACATTAAGTGTAGTTGTGTGCAACTCTGGGGATGGTGCTCATCTCCATTTCTAAGCTGAAGAGCCGACATTGTCTGTAGATGCCTCCAAGGTCATGTGGTCGCTGATATGGCTGCATGGAGTACCATTAAGTTCTCCTCTGTTTTTGAACTGCTCAGTTGGCAGAAGCTGGAGCTAACAACAGGAGCTCACTTCATCTGTGGATTCAAACTGCTGACCTTCCGGTCAACAAGTTCTGCAGTTTAGCGGTTTAATCCGCTGCGCCACCGCAACCCCATAATACTACTAATATATTAAATAAATATAATACTGCTGATAATATAATAATCTATAATGATAATACTGTTTTATTATTGTATATTAGTAAAGTTTAAGTTGTATTGTAATATTTTTAATTGTGAGCCGCTTTGAGTGTCCGTATGGAGAGATAAAGCAGGACATAAATAAATTAGTAAAATAAATAAATAATCTTGACAGCTATAAGGCTCTGGCTGACTTAGAAGGGCATAGAGGATACATTTACACAGTCTATCTGTAAACTATACTTCAGAAGGATATTATTATTGTTGTTGTTATTAAGGATATAACCTAACAGAAGATAATATCCAGGGGAGTAGCGTTTTGCAAATACACCCCTTGTATCTCCCCATTACAATCAGATAATACCTGATAACGGAAGGAGATATTTTTTAAAAAATGCATTATGACTTCATTACCTGCTCACCGTCCATGTATTTGCATAACAGAAGCGCTAAGCACAACACAATGAAAAGGATTTAGTGGAACGTTATGGCTAGTTCTAAAAAGATCCAGCTCATAGAGGATGAGTCCTAACACCAATTATGTAACAGAAAAGTAGAACATAGTTTGTCTGTGTGATACAAAAGATGCTGTTGGCAAAGTTACATTACGTTGTGTTGAAATAATTAAGTACAACTAGCCAAGCCACACTGGAGAATCTTCATACCGGAAAAGGACAGCATGAGTCATTTGTTATTAAAGTGCTTCAATTCAAATCTATGATACTATATCTGTCTGTGTGTGTGAATTATATATATATCTATCTATATCTATGGCTGGATGGCTCTTTGTCAGGAGGGCTCTGATTACATTTTCTTGCCCTGATGAAGAGAGTTGGACTGGATGGCTTTAAGTATTTTCTGTTGGTCATGGGGGTTCTCTGTGGGAAATTTGCCCCAATTCTGTCATTTGTGGAATTCAGAATGCTCTTTGATTGTAGGTGAACTATAAATCCCAGTAACTACAAATCCTAAATGTCAAGGTCTATTTCCCCCCAAACTCCATCTGTGTTCATATTTGGGAATGTGGAATATTTGTGCCAAGTTTGGTCCAGATCCATCATTGTTTGAGTCCACAATGCTCTCTGGATGTAGGTGAACTACAACTCCCAAACTCAAGGTCAATGCCCACCAAACCCTTCTAGTGTTTTCTGTTGGTTATGGGAGCCCTGTATGCCACGTTTGGTTCAATGCCATAATTAGTGGAGTTCAGAATGCTGTTTGATTGTAGGTGAACTATAAATCCCAGCAACAACAACTCCCAAATGACAAAATAAAAAAAATGAGTGAAGGACATACATTGGGTTGTTAGGTGTGTGCTGTCCAAATTTGGTGTCAATTGGCCCGTTGGTTTTTGAGTTCTGTTAATCCCACAAATGAACGTTACATTTTTATTTATATAGAAAATAGATTACACTGATAGAAAGCATTACGATTTCTTGAGCCAACAGAGCCACCTGCTGGATGTTGCCGGAACACTGGTTAAAAAATAATACCAAACATCACGAAAGTTGTACAGAACTCAAGTGTTGGAGAGAATCATTGAATCTTAGAGTTGAAAGAGACCGCAAGGGCCATCTAGCTCAACCCCATTCTGCCATGGGGAGATAACGTGGAGTATAAATCAATATAATAACAACAACAACAACAACAACAATGTATTGTGAGTGGGATATAAATTAGATATTGTATCCTAAGCCCTTTGGTTCTCATTTGAGGAGATAAAGTGGGGTATAAATAAATACAATAATAGTAATTATTATATTCTATTCTATCATAATAAAAGTTCTGTAGACACCCCCAAAGTCATGTGGCCATTACCTTCCCACTGAGGCAGTACCTATTGAATCTACTCACATTTGCATATTTTCAAACTGCTTGGTTGGCAGAAGCTGGGGCTAACAACAGGAGCTCACCCCTTCCGTGGAATCGAACTGGCAAGGTTTTTAGTTTCATTCTAAAGGATAAGAGGGAGCGGACCAATGTAATATCACTGGGTAGAGTTCCACAGGCAAGGGGCCGCTATGGAGAAGGCCCTGTCTCTTGTCTCCACCAGGGAGGGGTTTCGGCATGGCAGCCATTGTGCTATATAAAGAGCAGCACATGTCTCAGAGGCTCATTTGGAGATGGGAAGGGAAGGGAGAAGAGAAAGAGAAAGAGAAAGGTAAGGGAGGTTGGGAAAAGAGCGGTTGGAAGAGCACAATGAAACAAGAGCACACACTCTCAAGCTAGGAACATAACTTTGTCATTATTGTCACTTTTTACAGGCTGTCTGGCCATCTGTCCAGACAGATTTGGTTGTGTACTACTACTACTACTACTAATAATAATAATAATAACACTTTATTTGTACCCCGCTACCATCTCCCCAAGGGACTCGGTGCGGCTTACATGAGGCCGAGCCCAAACACAACAATACAAGCAATAATCACAACAATGCAAGCAATTAAAATAAAAAACATAGACAATAAACATACAACATTATCAATAAGACAACATACAATTAAAACTGTGGGAAGGCCAAATATAAAATTAAAATTGGAAATAGTGCTGAAGCATGGACGAAAAGGTGATAGTGGCGTTTGTGGAAGGACATACGAGCAGACCTAAAAATGTGAAGTGCTTTGGAGGGACAATGTGCTATGGGATCATTATTCCGGGAAGGCACACTGGAACAACCACGTCTTCAAGCTCCTCCTAAAGACTGCCAGGTTGGGGCCTGTCTGATGTCTTTAGGGAGTGAGTTCCAGAGTCGAGGGGCCACCACCGAAAAGGCCCTCTCCCTCGTCCCCACCAATGCGATGCTGGTGGGATCGAGAGCAGGGCCTCTCCAGATGAACAAAGAGATCGTGTGGGGTTCGTATACAGAGATGTGGTCACGCAGGTAGGTGGGTCCCAAATCATTCAGGGCTTTGAAGGTAAGAACCTGCACCTTGAATTGGGTCCGGTAGATGAATGGCAGCCAGTGGAGCTCTTTGAACAGGAGGGTTGACCGCTCCCTGTAAGGAGCCCCAGTTAACAACCTGGCTGCCGCCCATTGGATCATCTGAAATTTCCGGGCCGTTTTCAAGGGCAGCCCCACGTAGAGTGCATTGCAGTAGTCCAATCTAGAGGTGACTAAGGCATGGACCACCCTGGCCAGATCCGCCTTCCGAGGTACGGTTGCAGTTGGTGCACAAGTCTTAATTGTGCAAAGGCCCTCCCGGCCACCACCGACTCCTGAGCCTCAAACGTAAGTGAAGAATCCAAGAGGACCCCCAAACTGCAGACCTGTGATTTCAGGGGGAGTGCAACCCCGTCCAGC